TATATATATATATATATATATATCTGTGTGTGTGTGTATATATAAAAGAACACAATCTCTCTATCTCTCTCTCTCCCTCCCTGCATGTTTATCAAAGAAATTCATCTGAACTAAAAGAATTCAACTATATCATGTTTTGTTGCCTTCGAATTCACCATTAGTACTAAGTGCTTTCCATTGGTATCAGAGAGATTTTTATAATGTGACTTCTCTTATAATGTGCCTTCTCCTCAAGAGCTCAAAAAATAATTAGTATATTCAAACAAGGACACAAAGTATTATATATTCAGTAAAATAGTACTTTTTCTCTAACCATCCACCTTTATAAAAATGTATACTGATGCCAGGTGTGCCTATACACGCAATTCCTCTTTCCAGGACAGTCTATTCTTTGGAGGTTCCACCCAACAACCATTGTATCCTTTCCCCGTTTACACAGTACCGCCTCCCCCAAGTGAAAAGCTTGCCTTGGCAGGGACAGAAGGCTATTTTGATGTGAGAATGAGGGTCCTCTGGGTGGACGCATTGCTTACATCAGGAAGTCTGTAGAGCTTCATTGTTCTCTGTAATGTCATATTTCTGCTCAAGTGAGAAAATTTCACTTCTACCAATTTTCTGGGGTTCAGCGATCGATGCCAGTATCTGGAAAAATTAGCTTAGATTATTTCCTATAGTTTATGTGTTTCCAATTTAGATCTTCCAGGGTACTCAGTTCAACATATTTCAGAATGTGATTTTATTTATGTCTACTCAGAAATAGGAAGTTGTTAAGATAAATGCTTAGTATGCAGCTGCACATCTGCTTCATCTAATTTGATGTTTTCCAACAATGGATATCATCTCTCAAAGTCGTTGCTTGTTATGGAAGTTCCTATCCCAAAACAACTGGAGGGCCGCTGAATGGGTAAAGCTGTACAATCATCATTGCATTTCAGCTCTGTCCTTACACATAGAAAATACTTCCAGGTACTCCTCAACTTATGACTGCAATTGAGCCAGAAATTTCAATTGCAAGTCATAATGTCATAATTGGATCTGATTCACTCCAATTAAGCAAATCACATGGTCATAAGTGCAAATGTGATCTCCTATATGGGTAGGGTTGTTGTTTTTTTTTGCCAAAAACTGGAAACAAGTCTGAGAAATTGACAAAAAAATGTTGCAAATAATGTGTCAGGTAAGAAGCTACAACCAGTTGTAAACGTGGATTGGTAGTCAAGTGCCTGAAATACAGTCATGTGACCACAGAGATGGGAGAGGCACAACACATTGCAATGGTCAAAAGCACTCTTCACAAGACTATTGAAAATCCAAATGGCCATTAAACAACTAATCAGAAATTGAGGACTATCATTATGGGACATTTTCTTAACTATATACAAAAGATCCATCAGAGTGTAGATTTACACATTGTAAAGGTTTATTCTTGGAATAGGGTAATTATAATTAATCATTTGTACCACTGCTGTTGAAAGAAACATAGAAGTTCTTTTATATGCAATCAAACCATTCAAAAATCTCATTCGTTATTGCCAAATAATTTAGAATATGAAGTGGGTGGGTGGGTGGATTTTCCCCAAACTTTCTTGGAAATGCAAGAAATGCAACCTGAGCCCTTTCATAACAGAATAATAAAATTGGAAAAGACTTTGGAGGTCTTCTAGTCCAACTTCCTGATCAAGCTGGAGACCCTATGTCATTTCAGACAAATGGCAGTGATATCTTCCAACGATTCATGGATTTTTGTGGTGATAAAAGGCAATATTCCTTGATTCATATGGTACTAAAGTCTCTCTCCAAATATTTAGGAATGCCAAAAGCACAAAATGAAATTTATTTAAATGTATTTTTCAGATTTGTGCTAGTTCACTGATATGTCTCTTAATTTTTTGGAATATTTTTGCTAAGGTCCTACTGTTAAATATATGCTGCAAATGTTTATCACATTCCACCGAAATTTAAAGAAAACAACAAAAACAAAAACAATTAAAAATCCTCATTACTATATGCTTTTATATCTTCTTGGTGCCTTTTTTGTAATTTGTATCTTTGACTAGAAGAAATGAAATATGCAAAAAACAAATCTATTTTTGCCAAGTATGATTTTGAAGGCAACTATTCAAAAATATTTATATCTTTTGCTGCAGTAACATGGCATGTTGCAATTTTAATAAAGCCATAAGTACAACTTACACAAAATATTGCCAAATGAACTTGCCCCTAAATATATACTCTAAAGTAGGTGAAGGCTTAGTTGGAATAGAATAACCTGAATGCACAATTCATCCTGCACTTCTGTAGAATAACATTTTAAAAGAACGACAGTCAATAAAATCAAGGTATAGCAAAGAATTCAATTATTTCTATACATGCTTAAGATCAATATTTCACAATATTTCAGCCATGCATTCTGGCTGAGGAATTCTGGGAGTTGAACCCAATATATCAAAAAATTGCTGAACCTAAGGAACACTGCTTCAAACCAATCCAATCTTCACCAATACTGTGGACTTCAGAACTATGACTATCAGAATTCATAATCAACAGGGACTTTTAATTCCTGTGCATTTGAAGGAAACCATGCAGAATAAAAATTGACATTATGTTAGCATGTTAGACTGCCTCAGTAATTTTTCTGCATAGTCTATACTGTTTCCCTATAATGATTAACCCTTGAAAGAACACTTTTTAGAAAAACCATAGAAGAAAATGCATGTGTCATTAGTTTGTTACTGAAAGTTTGGCTACAAAGATGATGATTTCACTGTCCTGAAGTATTTCTAGGTTTTTTACACCTTTGATGCTTAATTTCAAAATGTTTACATCTGATATCCAATTAGCATATTTTTTTATTTTTAATGTCAACGTCTTCCGGGCAAATTGACTTCAGGCAATGAGGTGTCATGTTCCCAACATGTTGATAATCTACTATCACGTGGCCAGTCTGAGATGGATTATAAAGGCCACCTAGATACTCCTTGATTTACAACCTTTTAGTGACCATTCAAAGTTGTAACAGCAATGAAAAGTGATCTATGACTGCTTTTCAGACTTATCATTGTTGCAGCCATGCCCACGATCATGTGATCAAAATTTGGACACTTGGCAACTGACTCATTTAAAACCATGTCTCGGGGTCATGCAAACACTTCTGACAAGCCAAGTTAATGGAAATGTGAATCAATACACGGAACAGATTACATTTATGGTGGACCTGTGAGGAGGCTAAATTTTTTTGGAAAAGGATCAAAAATTGGCTGGAGGCAATAACAGGGTTGTTAAGTGAATCTGACTTCC